CCAGTAGCTTGAGAACCGAGTCACTTGCCTCGTCTATGGCTTCGATAGGTGCAACAGCTTTTAGCGTTCCATCAGGATTGAGAAAGCGCTGGAAGCGTCGGCGAACATCTGCCAGGTATCCTTGTAGCTCGCGGACAGCATTTCGAAGCCCTGTGGTTAGTTAGCATGGATTCAAAGGCAGCGGGACCTTGCCATACCTTTGTCGTCTCCACGAATACTGCTAGCCTCGCTTCCTTCGTCGGGTTTTCGTGCAGAAGATATAACAGAGGCTGCTTGTGTGGATGCCTGTCCAGCAGCAGCATCATCGCATGACCCGTCAATCGGAGACCCATTCACCTTTTCATTCGGAACTTCAGGCTCTGGGACCGTAGAGAGATCGCCTGCAATCAAGCGAGGATATAGGCGAATGACACTCTCGGGGGGTGCAGACACCTCAGTAAAAAGATCTAGAGACTCCCGGTACTTGGTCAGGGCAAACAAGCTCTGCGCTTTTTCAAGTCTTGTCGCGCGCAGTCGACCACACTTGTCTCGTAAAAGAGCATCCTCCAGCATGCCGAGTAAGCTGATGGCCTCATCTAGATAACCACCATCAACCAAAGTATCAATCTGGGTATCATAGCTCAGAGCTTCCATGCGCCAGATGATGCGGTCACTCGCCACAAGGAACCCTTTACCCGCATGAGCAAGACTGATGTTCGGCTGCGGAATGTGCAAGATACTAGCCGACGGCAACGGAATAGACTGCAGTAGCGACAAGGTCTCTGGGTTCCTTATTTCCAACGCCCCCTTGGATGAGTCGTGCAAAGCCAACAGAAACGGGTACGAATATCCAAGCTCCACCGGGGCATGGCTCCAAGGCACCTGCTTCCGACCGAGAGGCTGGCCGTCGACATCAATGAAATTCGTGTTGATGTCCTTAGCCAGCAGGATCTGACCTTCACGCAATCTCGTCACAAGCGGCCGCGGCACCATGCCTCCCATACCGATATAGCTCATGCTCGCGGCGCCAACGCCCGTGAACCGGCCCGATTCCTCAATGCTGCCCGGCCCAGCCAGATCCATAAACTGTCCACTCTCAATATTGACCATGATAAAGCTAGTGTTCAGTCCAACCACTAGGCGTGTAGCCGAAACCCAGGTGAGAGTCTTGACCCCACTAACCAAGCTCAGCTCAGCTGTATCCCGTTCCAGCTCCATGTCACGCCACGCCCGCATAAGGATCTTCCGCTTGACGGCAATTGCCAAGCGGGAAACGATAGCAGGCACATTTGTATCTGGATCATTGACAACATTCGACGTGACGGCAAAGGCAGAAGCGCCCTTCGTTTGGGCCAGCTGTTCGACAAGCTTGTAGGACTGCGCATCGTGGAGCGAGACATAACCACCAGAAAGAGAAACCAACACATTTGCCTCCTTAATCAAGGCGAGCTGCTCGATCTTGTATCGAGAGAATTTCTCCAATTCACAGAGGAGCTCGGTCTTGCCGTCGTCAGTGACACGGTAGATGCGGAGGTTGCCATTGCTCAGGCCAGCGAGGAGGCGGTCACCGTAGGCTAGGACCGAGTCGATACGGGACTTGTCGCGCGGCTTGAGCTCCACGAGCGGCCGCGCGGTAAATGCTGACAACATGGGTGTGCTGCCTTCAATTCCTTCCACTGAAAATTGGAGGGGCGCTGCTGCTGGAGCTCTCCGCATGACGTCCACAGCTGAGTCAGTTCTGAGTCAGCATGTATCTGGCTGAGACCTGGGGGGCATCTTGGATGGTTTCTAAGCTTCTCTTATTTGTTTATGTAATTTTTCTCCGTTAGAAACAAAAATGTAGCGTTGGTGCTCGTTCGAAGCAGGTTCTAAATGGCAAGTTAGATGTTCAAAAGTTGTTTTGGAGGCCCGAGCCATGTCATTTCTAGATCGAGATGTGCTTCCAACTTTCCAATGAGGCATGGGTACAACGGTTAGACCTGCGAGGAAGATGAGTTAAAGAATTGATTCAAGTATGTAATATATATTCAAAGAAACACCAAGTTTTTGGTATCTGAATGTCTCATGCTAAGCCCTAACGCCGATGCTGATCAACACATCCCTAGTGCTTGGTTTCCGTATCCTCTTTTTTGCCTCCCTCGGCAGGGAACTCCTGGTGCCTCGCCGAGCTCCCTTTCCCGCGCCAGGTCGACACAGCGGGGATATCAGCCTTGAAGCGCTGTTCTTCGGTACCGTAAGCGCGGGGCGTGAGTCTGATCAGAGTATGCAAAGGCACCTCCATCCAGGGACTCTGCTCCTGGGGTATATTCATAAAGTAAGCGTATATGCAGCGGAGGACAGCCTGGTGAGTAACGATAATGACATTCTCACTGCGTTCCAGCTCCATGATGATGGGCTCGAGGCGGATGACGACGTCGCGGTAGGACTCGCCACCGCGGTAGCGGTAGTTGTACTTGTCTTCATCGCGGGCGGCGAAATCCTCCGGGTAGTTCTCAGCAATTTGCTCGTAGGTCAAACCGTCGCAGACGCCCGAGTCCAGCTCATCCAGGGCTTTCCACTCCAGCGTCTCATAGCCAGTCTCTGCCTTGAGGTGGCGGGCACTCTGAATCGTGCGCCGCAAAGTTGAGGTCCAGATCACGATCTTGGTATTGTCAGGGATACCGGACTTGCGCATTAGCTCAGGGAGGGTGCGAGCATACGCCTCGCCGCGCTCGGAGATGTTGGCATCGCCTCCAATCCGGCCGGTCAAATTGAACTCAGATTCACCGTGCTATTCTCGTCAGTCCCGTATCTAAATAATCCGCAGTCTGGATCGTTTAACCTACTCTTGATAGCCAGATCGAGCGAGGTTTGATGTGAATATTCTGGATATAATAGACTAGACGACTGGACAGATAATCTTTGATCTGGTTGATGATGACCGTCGATCCCACATTGATAAGTTTGACATAAGTATACTTCTTTTCGTCATCATCGATGGTCTGGTAGACCTTTTCATAGTTGCGAATGCGGTTGCGGAAATCAAGCGCAGCCACTTCGGGGTCCTGGCCTTTGTAGTCTGGGGATGTTGTCTTGACTTCCTTGATGTTGGTCATGATCAGATCTTCGTCATCACAAATCGACTCAACAAAGAGAGCCTCAATACCAGCTTCGGTGCATTTCTCGTAGATCCATCTGCGGCGATCCTTTGTGGAGTTGGTGGCGTCCAAGATAGCCACAACACCCTTGCCGGCATTGAACCACTGAAGCATGTCAGACATGGCAGCCTCTGCGGCAGCTCTGCGCATGCGCTCGCCTTCTTCATTGTGAGGATCAAAGAAGACCGCCTGTGGCTGCGGGGTGCTGAAGCGGCGATAACTACCAACATTAAAGACACGTGCAGGGACACCAACCCAACCCAGATAGCGCATGGCTGTCAAGAGTCAGTATCACGTGTTCATTTACGGGATGGCTGGTTCACTTACCCTTGCCGGCGATGAGACTCTTGCCTCGGGCCGGGAGGCCCACCATGACAACACATATCTTTGAGTCGTCGGACTGCATAGCAAAGTTAACGGCGGCCATTTTCGATTCTTTTTTTCCAAAATTGAATGAAGGTGGCAAAAGTGTTTGGGGGGGGGGAGGGGGGGTTTGTGGGAAAGAGAAGAAAACGGACGGTAGACAAAATAGGTATCATACACCCTTGTAGATTGCGGAGAAAGTAGCAAGTACTCCTGCACATTCCACCTCTACTTGCTTGTTTTTGTTATCAAATTCTGGACAATGCCTAACATTTGAAACATTTCATAGTTCATCCCAAACACCAACAATCAATCATCCCAAATCAAACCTAGCCCACAGATACGCAATGCCTCGGCAAAGTAACAACGTCACAACTCCGTGGATATCAAAGGGCAAAAACAGAGGGGTTCCACTCACACTTGCAATGAATGCCTTATGCTGGCTTTTGACAATTGAAGACATTTTGAGGGTGATGTTATATGAAGACGGGCAAATACAAGAATCTCGGGAAGATTAGGAGCAATTCCGACCCGAAGCCGGAGGACCAAGGAGCAGAACTTAACCCAACATAGGGGTTTGGTCAAGAAGATATGGAGAGAAAATGACGTGCAGGAATAGATAATCTGAATTCACACAGAAAAGGTCAAAAAAAGAGATAAATCACCAAAAGAAACAGGATCGAAGAAACCGAAGAAACAGAATTCAGGGAGGCGCATAATGCGGTGAGTCTGGATTCCCCACCAACGTCATCCCATTGGGGTTTTGATATGATCTCGCTGGTTGGCTTTGTTTTGTGGAGTATGCATATTGAAGATCCTGTTTGAAGCATTCTTCATACATTTACTATCTCTAATCTAAATCATGACCACTAAAGCAGATAACCCTGGATAACACTAACCCTTTCATGATGTAAGCGGCTGTTTCGGTACAAGCACTTCTGTTGTATCCCCAGGCTTACCAGGTGATCCCGGGGAGAACAAACTCCATGTGTCCATATTCAGACAGAGCCTTTCGATGCATAGTGAGAAAATTAACGTGTTAACCTTGGAAAGCCTGGGTTATACACTTCTCTTCCCGAGGTCATCACCGGTGTTCTGCATGGAGCTAGTGTTGGAGATATGGCCATAGGGCATAGTACATGGCTGTTGGGCTTCGACTCGACTTGAGCATTCATCTCACTTCACAGAGGAAGATCTCCTTGAAGCGGCATCATCTTCGGGGGTGCGGATGAGCGACCAATTTCGGCTATCCGTTATGACACATCTGGCATAGTCAGTTTCATATTGTCTCTACCAAGCCAAGATATTCAGATTCTTAACTACATTGTCAGTCAGCTGTTCTTGTGTTAACAAATCAACAGTGGACAATAAGAAACATGAAGGGTATAGTAGCGAGATAATTATGTATGTAATTTTGTATGTTCTAGCTCTATTCAGGTATCGTAGCGCATGCGATGTGACACGTCCTATCATTAATAATCCTTAAATTTTTGTTTTGGTAGGCAAGCCCTGGGATTTAGATCAGATGTCCTTGGAACCACGAGCAAACTGTACACGAAGCTGACCACCCCAGGGTCCTTCTCGGCCATTCAAGGTATCCATGGCTTTCCGGGCTTGCTCGGGAGTACCCACATCGACGAACAGATAGTAGTGCTCACCGGGATCAAACCGTTTAGCGGGGTGAGGGGCAAAGACCTTGCTAACGCTTTCACTGCAGGTACAAGGAATCAGTACTGATCACACACTAGAAATCCAACCCATCAAAACTTACACCTTAAATCCCGTGAAGAAATTCTCCATGTTGCTCTGCACAGCCCCATGGTCGGTCAATCGTGGCAGTCCACCGACATACACGCGATTGCTAGAGTCACCGTTGATCTTAGCAAAGCTAGGTCTCTCTTGCTGACGCCAGCGATCAATGCGCAACGGCTCAGGCGAATTCTGAATGCGTTCCTGAGACTTGGCCACACCAGGCTTAATCTTGACCGGGCGACCCAACAAATCGCGGCCATCGAGCTCGGTCATGGCGCGCTCGGCATGCTCCTTGTTCCGTAAGTCGACGAAACAATAGGAGGGGTTCCGGCCGGTGAAAGGATCAATGGCAATATCTATGCGCTCGCTATTTGGGAGTTCAGTTGGCGATTCCACGGCTGGGCCATCAGGTTCAAGTGGAGGCATACATAGGGAACTTGGCCGCTATGAACAGCGCCTCGACATCCTCCATCTTAGCCGTATATGGCATGTTGCCAACGTATAGGCGGCGGCCATCTTTTATTGCTTGGGGGACGTGCGCTCCGGGCCGGCTAAAGGCTGCGCGTGAGGTATTGGGGTTTGGGTTTGGACTCGCGCTTGGGCTAGCGTTGGTGCGCGATGGTGTTGCCGGGCTTTCAGCCTTCATGCGCCAGTTGGCAGAGTTAAAGGCTCGGCCATCGGTGCGGGCATTTGCAAAGGGAGACTTGGTAGGAGCTGTATATTGTAGATGTTGATTAGTCGAGACTCGTTGGAGCCTTTTTTCAGGACGATCTTACTCTGTTGCTCCAGTCCAAGACCCTCTGTATCATTCATGGTTTTAAAAGAGGATTTCAGCACAAGCACAAAGATACTCTGAGCAAAAAGGATACCAAAATAATTTCACCAAGACTGAAGAACCGACCCTACATCTTCCACTTTTTTTTGAACAAACAGTGCAAACCAACACTCTCCACTGACTATTTAACGCGCTTTCAATTTTTCCTTCTTCCCATCATTTCATCTTCATCTGATATCTTACTTTTGAAAATTTGACAACTTCAATGGCTTGTTTTCATTGAAATTTTGGCCCTATTAAACTTGTGGCTTTACGTTGCAAGCCCATAGCATGATGGAAGCTGTGCTTGGCTTGCCAAGCCTCTACAAGAGGAGTACTCAGTATACATCTCCGAAATGCCGAGCTGTCCCCGAGATGATCGTGAATTTTCATCGACGGGACAGTTTCAATTTGAAAATGTGAGTTTTGAATTTGTGTGGGTTTTTTTTTCTCTTTCTCTTCGCTCTTATGATGAGTGACCTTTTCACACAGACCTGTTCTGAACTATATTGTTGATAAAAATTGTTATATAAATGTTATCTGATGGAGCTTCTTGACTTTGTTTCTCTTGTCGAGTCCACGCGATCACTGCTAACATAATATCAGATTTTCACAGATAGAATGCTCGTCCCAAGACAATATAGAACTAGGTCCTGTGCCAAGTATTCAATTGATAACTTCATGAACTTGTCCTTCCATTGCTCTGTTCGCGTAGTGCATACATCGGAGTAGTTCCCACTACCTCCATCAAGTTGATGATTCATTCGGCCCTTAACTCCGCTTGACTGTATTCCAAAAGGCTACAAATAAGCCACGTGGGCACAGCCCCAACGAGGCCAAAAAGCAGATCATGATTGTCTGCCTGAAGCGCTAGCCCTGCCAATCCCCCCCAAGAATACCGCCATCTAGTAACGTAATTCCCAAGCGAGCTGGACACCCAAGCGAGCTGGCCACCCCAACCAAAACACGTCCATGAATTAGATCTTAGTTAGTTCAACCACCCACCATGCCACCAATTCGTACTCAATCCTCTCGAAATTCAATAGAGCAGGAGGGTAGGATCTTACTAGCTATCCAGGCTTTTAAGAATCAAGAAATCTCTTCAATTCGTGAAGTGGCGCGCCATTTTAACGTCCCAAGATCCACCCTTTCTACCCGCCTAAATGGTATACAACACCGCGCGATTTCTCGCGCCAACTCTCATAAATTGACCGATACTGAAGAGGAATCTCTTCAGAAATGGATACTCTCTATGGACGCTCGTGGTTCAGCTCCACGACCTTCAATGGTGCAAGAAATGGCGAATGTTCTACTTTCGCATCGCGGAATCAACCCATCATCTACAGTCGGCAAAAATTGGGTCACTAATTACATTAAACGACATCCCAATCTATCCTCGAGATTCTCCAGACGTTACAATTATGAACGTGCTAAATGTGAAGATCCAAAAATCATTGGTGAATGGTTTACACTTGTTCAAAAAACGATTCTTCAATACGGCACTGACAACGATAACATTTATAACTTCGATGAGACTGGTTTTGCAATGGGATTAACCGCAACTGCTAAAGTCATCACGAGATCTGAATACTACGGTCGGCGATCACTTTTACAACCTGGAAATCGCGAATGGGTGACTGCAATTGAATGTACAAATGCTTCAGGTTGGGCACTACCTCCATGCATTGTTTTCAAAGGCAAAGTATTCATTGAATCTTGGTTCGACAATCTTCCAAATGATTGGCGCTTTGAAGTCAGTCCTAATGGATGGACCTCTGATGAAATTGGCCTTCGATGGCTTGAAAAACTATTCATTCCATCGACTTATTCACGGACAAAAGGTCGATATCGACTTTTGATACTTGACGGACATGGAAGTCATTTGACCCCGAAATTCGATGAACCTTGCGAAAAAAACAACATCATTCCAATCCGTATGCCTGCACATTCATCTCATCTTTTACAGCCACTTGATATTGGTTGTTTTGCGGTATTAAAACGCTCTTACGGTCAACTTGTTAAAAAGAAAATG